GTTCACTCCAGAAGAAGTCTCAAATGCCATCAAAGACATTAAACCTAACAAAGCTCCTGGTACAGACGGTATACCTCCCGAATTCCTGATCCATTGTGGGAAATCTGCAAAAACCTGGTTGTCTAAATTCTATACAGATATACTCAAAACAGGTAACCTACTAAACCTCTTTAAACAAACAAAAATCATAGCCATCCTGAAACCTGGAAAACCCAGGAAAAACAGACAACCCAGCGAGTTACCCCATCGCTTTACTCAGTTCAGCTTACTAGCTCCTCGAAAAACTGGTCCTGAACAGAATCGGCCCAAAGCTACTTCAAAAAATACCAATTGAACAAGCAGGATTGAGCCATCAACGAAGCACCACTGACCAAGTGCTCTCTACAACTACCTACATAGAGGCAGGTTACCAAAGAAAACTGAAGACGTCTGTGGCATTCATCGATTTATCGGCTGCCTATGACACGGTTTGGAAAGATGGCCTCATCTATAAGCTCCTTAAAATAATCCCCTGCAAAGCAACCGCCCGACTCATAAATACTATGCTGAGCAGTAGAAACATCCGTGTAACCATGGGAACTACAGTGAGCAAACAGAGAACGCTTAATAATGGCCTCCCCAGGCTCCATACTTGCACTGCTGCTATTTAGTATGTATATAGCTGATATGCCCCTACCAGATCTAAAAAATTTGGATATGCAGACGACTGGGCACTTGCAACTCAAAGCTCCTTAATACAAAACTCCGAGGCAATCCTAACGGAAGATCTGGAACGCCTGGTTAAGTATTTAAACAATGGAGACTTAAACCTAACCCCAAAAAAAACCGAGGTTAGCTGTTTTCACCTGAACAACAAAATGGCCCACACAAAACTTAACGTATACATTGATAACCAACTGCTCACGCACAACTATAATCCCAAGTACCTCGGCGTCCCCTGGACAGAACACTCTCCTTTAAGAAACATCTTGAGAACACCACAGCAAAGCTGAGAACCCGTAACAACATCATACAGAAGCTTTGCGGGACTACATGGGGCTCATCAGCAGGTACACTTCGGTGTTCAGCCCTTGGACTCGTATCCTCCGCAGCTGAATACTGCTCTCCTGTTTGGCTGAATAGCGTTCACACAAAAATTATAGATACCCAGCTCAATGTCGCCATGCGTCTCATATCTGGAACGATCAAGTCTACACCTGTGGAGTGGCTTCCACTACTGAGCCATATACCTCCACCTAATCTATAAGTCTGCTCTGCTTAGAGAATTCCAAAAGCTGCTTAACAACCCGCAATTACCTATACCCACATATGTCGCCGACGCTAATTCACATCGATTGCGCTCCAGAAACCTCCGACTAGAGATGCAATAAACTTGAGTTCCAACAATTTCCAAATGAACTCCCAGTGGAAGAACATGCAGAGCGACAGACCTAACCTAATAATGAGAAACACACCATGCATCACAGAAACTCCTCCAGGTTTTGACCTCCCCGAAAATCATGGTCAACTCTTAACAGGATAAGAACGGGTCATGGAGTCTGCGCAGATTCCCTTTATAAATGGAGGATGAGAACCTCTGCTGAGTGCGACTGCGGCGCCGAGAAACAGACCATCCAGCATATGATTGCCGAATGCCCTCGGAGGAAGTATTATGGAGATCCTCTTGACTTCGCCTCTGCAACACCAGCGTCGATTGAATATATTAATACATTAGATGTTAGATTGTAACATATATGTGATAATGTTGTGTATCAAATTGCCATACGCTAAATAAAAAAAAAATTAGTCAAACCACATCTAAACGTTTTGGTAGATTTAAATTTAGTTAACATTCGCCATTATGGAGGACGAAATTCCTCCTGACCGGCCACCAGTAATGAGTGATTTTAAATTGTAATCATAGAAGCTCAAGAGATAGTGTTAATGGCAGTCATATTTTGCAAACTGCAGAAGATCTTCAGTTAATTTTTGTTAATGATGATTTTCCAACAAGATTGGTTTCTCCTAGTGGCAGCAAATCAATAGTTGACTTAACATTGACTTCGATAGATGTGGCACCTAAAATTAATAGATGGACTACCATTCCAGATACAGGATCTAGTGATAATTTTCCTATTCTATGCCATGTCGGCATCATAACACAGGACTCTAATCAGGTTTCTAAAAGAAAAAATTTCAAAAACTCTGATAGGTTTTCTTACCAAGAAAAACTAGAGTCTATTTTCTCATCGTTTTCAATTGAGGACTATGAAAATTTTATTAAATATATATCATCAGTGGCAGACACATCAATTCCTTGGACCTCCCTTTCATAGCAACAGATATCATATTCCATGGCTTCCATGATTCATGTGCTTCATGTGCATAATACAGAAGAGATTTTAGCTATTTAATACATTTAAAAAATCTCCTAGTGTTAAAACTATATAGAGGCTAAAAAATTCATAGCTAAAACTAGAAAATGATAAAATTAAAGCGAAAAATAAGCTTTAGATGCTTTTGTAGAAAACTAAATAGAAATACTCCCCTTAACCGATATTTCGAATAAAATTAACAAGGTTTCTGGTAGTACATTGTCTATTTCATCTCAATTGCCACCTGATGAGGTAGCCCAGGAAATTTTAACATCTCTCTCACCTATTTCTGGAGATTTCGAATTACTTTTCAGTCCTCTACAATATTCTTAGAATCCCATATCATTTGATGAATATCACAATAGTCTTCTTTCTAAAACCGATTCTGCTGTGAGTCCTGATCAGATTTCATACTCTATGTTAAAGAATTTTTTCCGCACTCTGGATCATTACTCTTAAATCAGTTCTTTTATGAATGTATCTAGAAGGGACAGGTTCCTATCTCGTGGAAAAAAACGGTCATATTACCTATTATCAAACATGGAAAGGATAAAACTGACCCCCTTGATTATAGGCAAATTACTCTTTCTTCATGCGTTGGTAAAATGCTGGAAACATTAATTAAAAACAGAATCGAGTGGTTCTTAGAACACAATCATATTTTTAATCGATTGCAACTTGGTTTTAGAAGGGGTAGAGGTTGCATGGAATGCATTTCATTACTAAATTCTAAAATACTACAAGGATTTTCGTTGAATCAATTTACCGTAGGACTTTCCTAGATATTTCAGCAGCTTACGATAATGTCAACATCTCTCTTTTATACTCCAAACTAATTAAATATAACATTCCTATTCAACTAGCAAAAGTCATTTATTCTATATTTAACAATCGTAGTATTGATGTAAAGGTCAAAGCTGGTCAAATTCATGGTCCAAGAAAAACTAATCAGGGCTTACCTCAGGGCTCCCCTCTAAATCCAATGTTATGTATTCCCTATCTTTATATGAGAAATTATTCCCAATGGTTGTAATTCAATAGTATGCAGATGATTTGGTTATTTTGGTTAATGAGGCTGATCTACTTAAATTAATCAATTCTTTAAACTTGTTAATGGAAACGATGGATCTCTGGTTGTTAGAACACAACTTTAATCTATTTTACAATAAGTCCTTAGCAATTATATTTCAAGAAGGGAATCGTAAAGTTAATCCTCCGATAAAGTTAATCCTTCGAACGTAAGAATTAGAGGTCATGCAATCAAATGGATACTATAATAAAATATTTAGGGGTAGTTATTCAAAAAACACCTAAAGTGGAATCATATGTGAATTTAATAGAATTAACAGTAAGTCGTAGTTTGAATGTAATGAGAGCTCTATGTGGAAAATATTGAGGTAGTGATCCTAAAACTCTTCAGATAGTTTATAGTGGTTTGATACTGAGTCATTTAGATTATGGATATGAAATATTATCAGATTGTCCTAAGGCGCTAATCAACAGGTTAGATAAATTACAATATAAGAGTATTCGTACCATAACACGATGTATGAGATCTACCCCTATTCATGCATTGTTAGGTGAAAGTGGCCAAATTCCTCTCAAGTACAGATGGGAATGGCTTAATTCTAAATTCCTTTTAAAAAATCTTTTGCTAATTAACAATCCAATAATGTCTGCCTTGAATCAATTACATATATCAATGCAATCAAATCATAATTACTGGAACAAAAAAAAGTATTTCCCTCTTAGTTTCCATAATTAATAAATTCCAGCATACCCCAAATTATTTTCTAGTGACTTATTTCCATGCCACAATTTTGAATTAGAATATCAACTAACTTCTATCGTTAATAGGAATGTGCAATCTTATAAAGTTGATGAGCATTCATTAATTCAATTTCAAAGTATCTCACTCGACAATCCACTTTACACTATAATTTTTACTACAGATGGGTCAGTTGATAGTAAGGGATCAGCAGATTTGGTGTTTTTTATCCTGACTTTAAATACTCATACTCTATTAAACTTCCTATGTAGACTCAAGTTTGCACTGCAGAGATTATTGCAATCAATCATGTGGTTCAAGGATATCAAGGAAAAAGACATCAAGAGGGCCTTAATCTTGTCTGATTCTAAGAGTGCTATTCAAAAGATAGGGAAAACATCTTACTCAATGGAAACTGAACATACCTCTATCATGAGCAAAAGGGACATTAAAGAAGCCAATCAATAGTACATCAGTATTATTCTGGCATGAATTCCAGGGCATTCGGATATTAAGGGCAATTGTGTTGCAGACAAATTAGCAAACATAGGAAGATCACTAAAAATGTCAGCCAAAGTTAAATTGCATTATTCAAACTACTTATTTTATATTAAAAAGATAATTTGGACTCGATGGCCCCAAAAATGGAATTTAAACAGATCAAAAGGGTCATTTTATATTAAAATAGGTAATAGTCAAGGGTAGAATAAAAATTATTAAGAAGAATAACAAAAAGAACAACTGTACCCAAAGTAGAAAAATTCGTATTAAAGAGAATAAAACTACTGCTACTTCGTCCTATGCATGTGTGTGTAAACAAATGGAGGGGAATTTTGTAAATTACAAAGTTATCTCAGTGATAGTATATCCATATAGTTGTTAATTGCAATCTTAGTACGAAGAAATTATAAAAATTAAAACCTAAAATAGTTTGTGTTAGTCTAAATGTAGAAGTGGGTGCCCCAAATGCTATAGTATAAGAAAAAAATTAAATATGGTAAGTATAACTTAATATTTAAGTGTGAGAATTCTAACCTCTGTTTTAGCCCATTTGTCTTTACCTCCTGTCCGTTATCTAGTCTTGTTTGTCGTAAAAAGCAATATCTTGATCGGTTCCTAAACGACAAACGAGTGTCCATGTGCTATTCCTATCTTATCCTAAATATTTCTTCTAAGGCTTAAGATTTGCTACGCTTGGAATGTATATTATAGTTTAATATTCTATTAGACAGTCTACTACTACTATTTGTCGGTTGTTCTCCGCCGTTTTTCGACTTCCAATCGCCACTTAGTCCGGTGGTTCCATAGGTCTTCTTCTATGACCCTCTCTTTCAGTTCTTTATTTATTCCTTCGCTCCAACTTTTTCTCAGTCTACCTCATTTTCTCTTTCCTCTTGGTTGCCATCTTAATATTTCTTTTGGTATTCGTTGGTCATCCATTCTTTGAATGTTTCCGAACCAGATAAGTTGTTTTGTTGTTAGGTCATCTGTGATTGTTCGTTTGATTCCCATTATTTCTCTAATGCGTTCATTGGTAATCCCTCTTCTAGATCTTCGTGCGGCTATTCTCCACAAAATTATTTCCGTCGCTTTCAGCGTTGTTAGTGTTCTTTCTTTCAGTGGCCATACCTTACCTTTACTATAGTTACTACATACACTTACAGTATAAAGTGATACTTTTTACTATAGTCTCATATATCCTATTTTTATTTCTTTTGCTGATGGATTGGTCCCATAAAATGTTGTTTAACATTATGATGGCTTTTCTCCCTGACGTATTTATCTCTCTTATGGCTTTTTCTAATGTTTCATCTTGTGAAATAGTGATTCCTAGATATTTGTAGTCACAACAGTGCTTTATCGTGATGTTATCCTCTACTATGAGATTTTTTTGTTCTACTCCAATGCACAAATATTCGGTTTTTATTTATTTATTTCTAGACCCCATATTTCATACTCTTCAAATAATTTTCGTGCTTTCACTTCGTTCTTCTACTTGTTTTTCTTTAGATAGTCTTCCTTATTTTAATTAGAGAATATTAGCATTTTGTGACTATCTGAATAAATGTTTGTTCGGTTTTATGTCTTACTGAAACATAACTACTTAATAAGTGTAATAATTCCTTAATTGTTTTGTCCTAATATAATCTTATAAGTATTCCTGCTTTGAAAGAGAAGTCGCTGGGCAGAGCAAGCGGTGTTATCCATGTACTGGAACCAAAACTTTAGAGTTTCCTCATCTGCAGAAGTAAAAAATTAGAAGAGGAGTTCAACAAGGATGTATCTTTCTAACCTTGCTATTTAATCTTTATTCCGATCTTTCATTTAAAGAGGTACTGGAGGATTCCAAGGATGGAGTCATCAGTTGTAATAGCCAACCTCCAATGACGAGAGGTCATTTTAATAAGAAGTATTACCTTAGCTAGATTCTTAGCTTATTTTTGGTCTTGTTCCGAAAATTTCCAATTCTATGCTGCTCTGGTATTCGTTTTTGTTATTCATTTTGCCTTTTCGATTTCGTTCAATCATGCTTTTCGTTTGAGATCCGAAGCTATCTCGTTTTTTGCAGATAAATATGTTTGCACGAGATTAAGTGAAAATTAAACATTCCAACCATTAAGTTGGAGTGTAGTTTTTGATCAAGCTTTCCTTCCTCTATAATCAAACGTTGATCTTTCTTTAGAAAACAAAAAAACTCTAAGACGAGGTTATATCCCATTATCAGCTTAAAACTAAACATAGAGATGAAGAACAATTTCTTTTAGATAACAGTTTTAGATAAAAACAGGTTTTTGGAATGTGTTTTTTATTTTTTGTTATATTTTTTTATTAATAACATAACATTTTATGTTACTTTTCTCCTAGATTATCAAAATGTCTGCAATTCTGTTACTGCTGCAATGGACTACAAATTCAATGTCGATACCTACTTACGACATTACACGAGAAGAAAAAAGAAGTGTAGGGAATAGTGGTAGTAGCCATTTTGAACAAAGCAACTCATATAAATCCAGCAGTAGTTCCCATGAAGTTAAAGCTGAGACCTCTCAAACGTACCACTATACAAGTCATAAAAGTTCGGAAGGTGCATCTCAGGTTACTGTGGAAAATCATCATAAAGACAATGGTAAGTTTTTGAAGATTTCCATATAGTTCTTTCCAATTTTTTAACATTTCTTAATGATTTTTGAATGTTTTGCTAATTTTTATATTTGATATTGATGTTGTTCGTGAGCTTTGTTTCTTGTATTGCCACGACATCCATTTCATATCTTTTGATCAGTTCGTCCAGTATATTCTGGTTGGTCCTTATGCCTCCTGGGTTCCAGGAGCCTATCCTCAAGCAACTCCTATTTGCTTGCACTAGTTCAGTGCTAGCTTTATGTCTGCGATCGTCTCATGGACTATCCTAGTAACTAGTCATTTTACAGAGTTTACTAGGCCATCTTGTTGCTGCTTAGAAATGAGAATCGTATTCTCAGTGTTTTGTGTTTTTGCTGCCTATGCGTATGAAGGCCCGCTAGGTGTAGTTTGCGGCCTTCTTTGTGTGGTTTGTTGTCTTTTTTGGGGTTGTTGTTGGCGACCTTAAGTTGGAGATCTGGGGCATCCTCTAAAATTTGCCTGGTGTTATCCCTGGCAGTTTGCACATTTTGCCTTTTGCTCTTTTGGCATTTGGCAGCTTCTGCTTTGATGTCTTTTGCCACACCTTACATATAGACAAACATAGGAAGGGGTCTTTTATCACTTTTCCTAGATATCATGTTTTTTATTGATACACATTCAATGTTGTATTCGTCTCTTATTGTTTCAAACATCTTAGTCGTGTTTGTAGTAGGAGGTAATCCTATTATTACCATCCGTGGTTTTATGTCTTCCTCTATTAGGAAGACTATCCACTATATTAGCGTAGTTTCGTGGAAGTTCTCGATGATTTTTATAATCTTTCTGTAATCTTTAGGGCTTTTTGCCTGAATCAACGTTTCTCTTCCACTTCCTGACAGCTTGTATGCTGTGATCACATTTTGTTTCTGGGCAATATTTAGAATTGCACCAGTTCTATTCACCCTCTTTAATTTTATTACAGGCAATTCGGTGTCCACACTGGTTTCGCTTTTGGAGTTTCGTCTGTATCCATTTGACATGAAGATGAAAGACGATGAGAGGTTTGCGCACCACTCTCTTATGCAATTTCGTCTGCTGTCTGCTTTGGGGGCGTTAACGGAGGGAAATCCACTTTTTTCCCTTTTTCGGCTCATTTATTTTGTTGCCTTTAGCAGGCAACCATTGCGTCTTGTAATTCCTCTATCTTTTTCCTGAGAGCCGTAATTTCGGCATCCTTTTTTTAGCAGGATTTTCAGCACTTCTAGTTCTGACTTTTCTTCCTCACTATTCCTTTGCCTTAGTCTTTTCGTTGCTGGCCGTTTATCTTTCGGTGTGTCCTCATTCGTAGTATTATCATTTTCGGTTCAGCGGTTTCCCTACACGCGGTCTTTTGTCTGTTTCTTCTTACTTTTGGGACGTTTGAAGTCTCCGTCGGCAACGTTTTCTTCTGTGGGTCGTTCGTTGAAGATTTCGTAATTTTTTGTTCTGCTATCATCTTTGGACGGCAACGCATCATAGATGTTGCAGTGGAGTTTCCTCTCACTTATACTATTGTATTTTCTCAGCTAAACATCTATGATACATACATTTTTTTAACAGTTCTACATCTTTGTGTTTGATCAAATTGCATTTTGTTAAATAATCTCTTGTTTTTTAGGTAAATTTGAACATGCCACATCAGAGGAGTCAAAATATGTTGTAACGGGAGAATACACACTAGATAAAAACACTCAAAACAACAAGCATTCACAAAAATTTTTAATCCACGAGAATCAACATGACGATGACGAAATTCAACACAAATTTCATGGTAGTCTAAGTGAAACTGGAAAACATTTTAAAGATCTTACGAATGGTCTAAGTAAAGTGATCAAAATTAGAGAACCTAATCAATTTCATCAAAATATTGGTCAATCTGGAGTTAAAATTAGTGTAACTCAAGATGAACAGGAACAAAATCATTCTAATGGAAAAGAAACAAGAGTTGTTATCAACTTAAATATTCCTCAAACTGATGGCTCTATAGTAGTTGCACAGTCTGGTTCAGAAAATGATAGAAATATAGTATCAGGTAAACATACCAAGAAAATACAACACACATCTTTAATCCAAAACCAACAAACTTTTAGAAAAGGAAAAATGTTAATGGAGCATGAAAAAATGGAAGGAAATATGCACGAAATTATAGAACGTCACGGTGAAAGTCACAGTGGACTCAAGGTCGCCACAAAAGAAATCCATGTTCAGAGGAATAATCATAAAGAGTCTTCCCATCAGACCCATCCAATCACAAACATCCAGCACCATAACACTATAAAGAAAAATCAACGCAAAGCGTTTTTGAGTGAAACTCAAAATACCTCTAAACGAGAAAGAGATCTGCACCAAAACATGAAGGAAAGACATGTTGAAGGCAACAACAGAGTAAAGATCAATAAAGATGTGATTAATGTCCATTTAAACAATAAAAAAGAGTCTTCTCACAGGATCCATACAATCAACAATTTCTCCAAACGAGAAGGAATCAGGCACCAAGATATAATTGAAAGACATATTGAAAGCAACGATAGAATCAAGATTAATAAAGATCATACCAGGAAAGAGTCTTCTCATAATAACTATGTAGATTTCAAGTCTAACAGTCATCATAAAGAGGGTATAAAAATTGAACAACATATATCCAGGAATGAAAACAGAGAAACCTCTAAAGACTTTAAAGACATGCATAGCAATAGAGAAAAAATTGAACACCACCAAAATTACAATCAAAATAGTGAACATCACAGTTATGGTAGCAAAAAGGAACAAAAGCTTTCATTTGGTACGTCTAAAGATACCTTTGAGAGATCTGCAAGTACTAAAAATCTTATGCGTAAAGAACAAAACCAGAATACCTTGAAAGACTTCAAAAACAGTCATCGACATACTCTTAATGAAGAAAACGGAAAGGATATTACAATAACAATCACAGGAGATATTGATCAACTTACAGATTCAAATAAAGCTTCTTACCATGACATGAGCTCGAGTCAGCATCAGAAACAGCATATACACAAAAAAGAGAGTATTAGAACTAAAATTGAAAACGCTTCTTCGAAGCAAGTGACAGAAGCTGAAAGCATTCATCAAAGAAAGCATGATCATATAGTAGACTTGCGTCAAGTTGGTAATTTTCAAAATAATAATAACAAGCATCATGAAAAACAAGATACTGATATATTTATTGAGGACATGGGTTCAAATATTGAGGAAAAAGGAAGAGGTTCTTATCATACAGCCACCAGTAAATCTGAAGAAATTAATCACAATACTCAAAGTAGGAAATATACTAAGTTAAATGAACATAGTAAGAAAAATGATAAAGAAATAGTTGTTGTCGCTACAGATGATCTTGATTCTGAAACTAACAATTTAGCAAAAGAGTCATATTACAAAACAGTTAGTAAATCTGAAGGTCATCAGTACCATAATCGAGAAGAAAGCAGAAAGCAAACAAAGATAGATAAACCTGTTCGACATATCGGATTAGATAATGGAAAAGATGTTACTATGACTAGTTATGAAACTGTAGCAAAATTTAATTCAGATAACAAATACAAAAACCAAAGAAGTACTAATCATTATAGTGATGATGAAGGAGATATTATTGTTACAGTTCAAGATTCTGATACAAAAAATCATGGAAATCAATATCATAAACAAAAAGAAAATGGATATCATCGGTACAAGCAACAAGGAAATGGTGTTCGTCACAGTGGAGAAGATAAGACGGATGTTATTGTTACTATAGGCAAAGATGTTGATACAAAAGTTCACGAGAATCAATATCGTAAACAAGAAGCAAATGAAAAATATACTAGTTTGATTAAAAATGGAAAGATCTCTACAGATTCATCCTATGTTTCCTCTAATTTAGAATTGAGTAATCAACACAAAAATACTCATTCAAAAGTATTAGACAGTGATCTTCTACAGGAATTGGTAAATAAACGTAGTAAAAACAGCGACGATGTTAGAATAATTGAAGAGCAAAAGGGTGAATATAAAAATAGAGGTCGGAGACATCATGAAAAACAAGGTACTGATATTATTATTGAGGACATGGGTTCAAATATTGAGGAAAAAGGAAGAGGTTCTTATCATAAAGCCACCAGTAAATCTGAAGAAATTAAACACAATACTCAAAGTAGGAAATATACTAAGTTAAACGAATATAATAAGAAAAATGATAAAGAAATAGTTGTTGTTGCTACAGATGATCTTGATTCTGAAACTAACAATTTAGCAAAAGACTCATATTATAAAGCAGTTAGTAAATCTGAAGGTCATCAGTACCATAATCGAGAAAGAAGCGGCAAGCAAACAAATATAGATAAACCTGGTCGACATATCGGATTAGATAATGGAAAAGATGTTACTATGACTAGTTATGAAACTGTAGCAAAATTTAATTCAGATAACAAATACAAAAACCAACGAAGTACTAGTCATTATAGTGATGATGAGGGAGATATTATTGTTACAGTTCAAGATTCTGATACAAAAAATCATGGAAATCAATATAAACAAAAAGAAAATGGATATCATCGGTACAAGCAACAAGGAAATGGTATTCGCCACAGTGAAGAAGATAAGGCGGATGTTATTGTTACTATAGGCGAAGATATTGATACAAAAGTTCACGAAAATCAATATAAACAAGAAGCAAATGAAAAATATACTAGTTTGATTCAAACTGGAAAGATTTCTACAGATTCGTCTAGTAATTTAGAACTGAATAATCAACACAAAAATAATCAACGACGGTATAGGGATAATCAGAAGGAAATCGTTGCCGAACATTCTTATACTCATTCAAGTAATTTAGACAGTGATTCACTACAGGAATTTCTGAAGAGACATAGTAAAAACAGTGACGATGTTACAATCATTGAAGGGCAAAAGGATGAATATGAAAATGGAGGTCGAAGACATATGGTTAAATCCAAAGATCAGTCACGATTTAATATCAACAACAGTCAAGATTTTGGAACTGCTGTAACAGAAAAAGAGGCAAAGGATATTGATTATTCCGTACAAGTCTTTCCAGAAACAAAATCAAAATATAATACAAATGGAGGTCAAGTAACTATAACCTTAGATGACGATCTTGGTGGTTCTACCACCAGGTATGTAACCAAGTCCAAAAGTATAATAAATCCAGCTAATAGTCACAGTTTTACTAAATCTTTCGAGAAAATTGGAGGAGATACCTACCATGTAGACGTAGATCAAGATTTTTCTCCTAACGTTGGCAAAATAGTGGTAAGAACTGAAAAAATTGTGCAACCACCCACAGTTATAGTTGAAAACAGCTATGGACGTTTAAACAATGATGGAATTGATGAAAACGCTATGAGCCACAGTTCAATCCATAGCACTGCAAATTACTTGGAACGAAGTGCTAAGCATATCACGAAACAAGTTGTTAGTGGAGTTCATGGTGAAAAAAATACTGGTACTGGAAGTGGCATTATTAATGGTGATATAGGTGGGCCAGAAATATATGAAGTAGATGATGTAATAGGTACTCAGCTGCCTGGAGATAGATTGAAAGGAAACATTCATAGAAACAGCAACAAGGGGACTTTGATCAAAACTGTCGGACTGGATGGAGATATGCTAGGTAAATATACTAGATTTTGTTCTTAATATTATGTTACGTCTACTTCTAATCTTTTTTGTGCTAGATAATTGCCTCAATATTATTTAGCTCTTACGTTCTCGTGTTTTTCTAATATCGTAAATATTTTATACGCTGCATTTAGAAGCATAATTCCTTTGTGGTTAGAGCATTCAAAGATATCTCCTTTTTTACCATTATGGTATTATGGTCACCTTCTTTATATAGTTCAGCTAGGAGAATATCTATTCTCGGGATTTGTTTCTGGCTAGTTTTTTAACTACATCTTTAACTTCAAGAATCGTTGGTAGTTCCTCTTCTTCGTCTTCCAGGTTTTCTTCTTCTTCCTCTATATTAAGTGCCTGATTAAATTATTTCACCAATTTATTCAATACATCTTTTCTTGTTGTTAAAAGGTCGCCATTCTGACTTCTGCATTGTCTTGTCATTGCTTTGAATTCTTTTTTGTTGATGATAGCTTGATTATAGAATGCTCTGAATTCTTTCTCTCTGTTGAGGTTTTACTCTGTTTATAGAGAGCTATTCTATGCATTTTAAAACCAGTTTTTTTATTCGTATTTCATTTCTAGGATTTTTATATCTTTTCTGTTCCGTTCGTCAGCTTCTCTTAATTATATTCTTTTATTTTACAGATACCCAAGAAGAATGGAAGATGGATCCATTAGAACCAAATTCAAAACTTAGACCAACTCGCTCAATATCCTTCACTCTGCCCGAAGACAATTTTGGTGAATTCAAAAGCACATCTTTCCAGCAATCAGGCAAAAAATTTGGTCAACAACAAAGAACTATTACAGTTAGTGGAAATTCTGGTCAAAAATATCAAATCTATCAGAAAAGTCAGCCCTTAGTTTGGTCTGTTCAATCTAGTGGACAAGAAGTTAATGGACAAGGTAGTGGGTATATTCAACAGAGCTATCCTGATGGCAATGTGAAATTTTCTAGCGTAAAGTGGAATAGTCAAGGCATTAACCCTGGGGAACAAAAGTTTACATTTAGTCAAAAGATCTCTGATAATGGTGATTTACTCAACGATCAATTTGGAAAGATTTTTGAACAGCTTATGTCCACATCTAATACTCTTAATACAATTGGAATGAGTAAACAAGTTGGTAGTCTTGATAGCTTTCCTATAAATCTAGGTTTTCAATCTAGCAATGACGATTTATTCTTCAACCATCATTTTAATATAGGAAATAATGACAGAAACAAAGTACAAGCATTTGAACAAATTAGAACACTTGGACAACCAGAAATAACATCTGAAAAAGATGTAAACGTGAAAAATATTCTACAATCAAAAGATGCAGATCAATCAGATTTCGATCTCAGCACTTTATTAGACTTGATGAGACAACCTAGTGATCAACAATCTGGGAAATTTTTGCAAATATCACAGCAGGGATCGGCTCAGTCAGAACAACCATTGGAGTTGATCACTAAGGCTACAAGTACTCATAGAAATAAAGTACAACCATTTGAACAAATGAGTACAATTGGACAACCAGAAATAGCATCTGAAAAAATTGTAACCGTCAACAATATTCGACAATCAAAAGATGCAGATCAATCAGATTTCGATCTCAGCACTTTATTAGATTTGATGAGACAACCTAGTGATCAGCAAACTGAAAAGTTTTTGAAAATCTCACAGCAGGGATCGGTCCAGTCAGAGCAACCGTTGGAGTTGATCACTAAGGCTACAAGTACTCAGCTTGAAAGACAGCCTCAATATGTAAATACCAGTCCTGTTTTAGACTTATTAACGCAACCAGCTGATCAAAAACCTGGGAAAATGTTGCAGACAACACAACACAGATCCTTCCTCACAGAACAACCAACTGAAGTAATCATTAAAACTAGTACTAAGGAGTTTGGTCAGAGTATTCCACAGCGTCATTATTTGGAGACAACATTTGGTAACAAAAGAACAGATTTCCAAAAGAATCTGAATGTTGAAGATTTACTAGACATATTTAACAAACATTCCAACCAAATATCAAATGGGCAACAAACACAACGCAATTCTGCGTTTGCCCAGCAGCCAATAAAGTTTATGACTTTAGTCACCAATCATCAGACTGCTCAAATAATACCTCCAAAACAGTTTACAACTACAAAACTGAATGGTTTTGAATTGCAAAGTAAAGACACCAAAGAACCAGGATTTCAAGATCAATCTAACCATAAAGCCTTAGAATTTGGAAATTCACTACAGTTTGGTGCTAAACAATTAAGTCAACCATCTAATGAAGTTGTACAACAAGATTCAGGTATAAGATTGAATAACCTACAAATAGATCAACCCTATAGTTTACTTAATAAAGCTATTAATGATCAATCTAATCAGATAATACAGCAGGCTGATGATCAGAAATATGTTAAACATCTGTACGGTCTTAACGAATTATTTGATAAGCAACCTAAAATGACCAATAATCTTGAATTTCAAGAAAACCTAGTTGGTAAACATCAACAACAAATATCTAATGATATGCTGCAGCAAAATTCAGCTGTTAATAATCTCTTTAAAAAAACTACCACACATGAATCCAGTAAGCAGATTCAACAGTCTTCTGAGCATAAATCTAGACATGTTGAAAGTGACCAACTACAATATGCTGAGCAACCATTCAGTGTATTACGTAGACAAACAGAAGAATCAAACCATCAATCCGAAAAGTCTAACAAAATGGAGCATGCATCTAGTCACACTAGCCTACAAATTGGTGATGGTAGTCGACCATTTGAAGTGGTCAGTACACAGACCAATCACAAAGTTACAAAAGTTGAACATTCTAGTAAGTCCGAAAAAAGATCCACTCAAAGAGTAACTGTTCAAGGACCTATACAGCAGGTGGTGGGTGGATAAGAACCAAATTGTATCAATTTTAAAAGTATTGAAGGGATTCAAAGAATTCTAAAAGTTAATATTGCAGTATGTTTTTAATTAAAGCCAGTGGTTACCTAAGTTAATAAAAACTTACAATTTAATTGGTATATTTCTTTTAGTTTTAAGTATTTTTAAATTTTAACTGATACGATGTCTCTTTTTTAAATGAATAAAAGACTTTCCAGATCATCTTACCATTCATACCTTTCTTTCCTCTTGTTACATTATTTACATGCCAAAATAGCATTGACATTACATTGAACAGACATTAACTCTCACTTGAACACATTAAATCTACAACTCCAGGGGAAAAATATGACAGTATCACAGTTGGTTGGTCAAATTGAGACCTGATTGAGAACTGCATGAAAATAAACGACCTCACACATTTTCCTGCGTGTTTCGAAGTAAATCAAGAAGAAACCATGGTTAATTTCTCGAGGTTTGCAAAATTTCTTACAGAAATAAACAGAGAATTCAATGAAAGGTTTTCGGAATTTGATGCACTAAAACCCGATCTTGAGCTTTTTAACAATCCAATTGGAGTCAACATCCAGAACCAATTTCTTTACTGTCTTGATGTTCTAGCACTTCTTCTCAAATAATCTATTTCAACTGCCAATCTTCTCTTAAGGTCTGCAGTTTTTTCCACACTTCAGAGTCATAACAAAGAACTGATTCAACCATGGTTTGCCCTATTCATAGTCCACAGGTGATAGTCCACAAGACCTCCGCAGATACAGTTCTGTATGCGCATGCTACTCGCAACAGATTCGTTCTGTCTACTTTTGTCATAAGCCAAATATTGGGTATCTATATCTAAATATAATGAAAAATATTATTAATTATTGTGTATTTATGCAATAATTATTGTGTTCTATATATGCAAAGTGGTAATTTTATTATTCAATTAGTGTTTTGGATTTTTTGTATTGTGTGTGAAAGATAAGTTACATTTTCTAACTATTCTTTATAAATGTTTTAATTTATATGCCCTGGGGAAGGATTAACCCCAAAATCCCACTGGATGCGTCGCAGAAAAGCAGTTTTTAGATACCTATATCAAAAGTGTCACGAAAAGGCTTCTTTTTTGCTAATTTCTCTGGCCTCTAATACCAATTTGACATGAAATTGTTAGATGTTTTAAATCATTTTACGATAAAAGACTTGCCTATTTCTTAACTTGTCTTGCCTTTGAACAACAAGAATCTTAACAAGTACTTTTGTAACCAAAAAACCTCTAGGAAACCTAAGTGAGTCTATAAATAACCAATTCATCCAAGAATTTGACTGTTTTGTTCGAAATCGAAAAGTTGTATTGGGTCTTTTATAATAAAAATATATACAATGGCAAATAAGGTAAAGATATTTAATTTAAAATTCACATAGTAATTACAGTTATTTAATAATGTATGTCATATATTTATGTTTTTTTTTTCAATTTTACTATCGTCTCATTTAAGTTGAAAAAATTAAAGTTGCTAATTTCTCTTTAACATTTTAGTGTTATTTTTTTTAAATTTAAAAGGGATATTTCCAGTGGTTGGCCAAACTCAGGCTCATTCAATTTATCTTTTTTTTTTTGGTCATTCTTTTATTCTTTCTCCAACAGTTCATATTTTAATCAATCTTTATCATTTCTCTTATTATCTAGTTTTGGTACATGACCTATTTATTAATTTCTTCGTTTTCTTCGTTCCAACTAAGAATCATAGTTGAATGCTGTAGATTTTTTATCATTGTTCATTGTTATAATCTTAAATGTTTCATTTGTAATGCCACATATGCCAGGAGTTGTACAATTCTTTAAATTATTTATAGTTTGTAAAATCTCATTGCTTTAGTAAGGGAAATACATATTTTTACAAATAAGTCTCTAATTTATTATTCAGATACAGAAACATATTTTGCCATAGCAGGACTATCATTTTTTGTAAAATATCTTTTAAATATTTCATTCATTTCTTAAATTCTTCTACTTGTTTTTTTTTTTCTTAAAACTTATGTTTTTATGAGAAAGGTGTTTAAAAGTGCTCTTGTCAGCTTTTTATTGTTTTAGGTATACCCAAATTAGTTTAAAATATTAATGCATTCAAAAGTTGTTTTATTATTTGAAAATAAATTAATTGTCCATTCTTCTGTATGTATAGTATAATGTAGTTTATTTTTAATTATTGCGATAAAAGACTTGCGAGATAATTTAAGGCTAGATTGAAAATCTGAATTTTCCAGTCTAGGTTCATGTTTATCATCAGGTAGTTGATGCGATTCTTGAACAGATCAATTTTCTGTCTCATCTGGTACTGATTCGCTAGTGAAAGTCTCTAGTGTATTATTTGGACTTTGATTTTCATCTTCTTCGTTACTGTGATTCAATAATTTTACTCCTCACGTCTAGGAGCTAAATGCTTTGTTGCAACTTTAGGTTCCTTTCCTTTTGGATACTATATTAAGGCGTAAACTAAATTAGCTTCTAAAAGATCAACCTCTTCAATTAAAGGATCAAATTTACTTCTGCACAAATTTTTAAAAGAAAACGATATTGACCTGATAGCAATACAAGAAATACATACTGTTGTGCTCTATTTTGAACTCTATTAATGATTTTGGATGTAATCTACTTTAATTAATTAATCAAGTAATTATCTAATTAATCAAAACAAATCAAACATAAATAAATTGTATATCTCAGGGCTAAATCATCCTATCAATACTTACTTTCTTTCGTGGCTTCAAAATATTTCTCAGTGGCTTCCTAATAAGAATAGAGAATAATGAATAAAATAATATACACAATAATTTCAATTCTAAATTATAAAAGTCATTTATTTTATCAAATTGCAATAAATGTTTAATATTTTAAAGTTTATTATTTATTTTATATGACAATTACGAAACTAGGAATCTTATTTTCGTTTGTCTCCAATTTTTGTGTATAATTTTAATTTAATAACTCATCCACTTCTGTAATGACTGTGTCCAAATATGATTTTCCAGTTAATTTATAATCATAAAACAATGGTCCAACTATTTTGTTTTGAAATATTCCGCACCACACATTTATTGATTTTCTTCCTGACTTTATTTGCTTAATTTTTCTTTTTCTATTTTTCTTTTTCCACAAATGCCTATTTCTTCTATTAAAAATGCCTGAAGTTGAAAAATTTGATTCATCTGTCCATAAAATGTTATAAAAATAATTATTTTGTAAACATTGTTCAAATTTGTAAGCATGTCGTGACAGAACTGTAAACGCTTTTTCTTATAAACATCGGTAAGTTCTTGTACCGGTAATATTTTGTTTTTTAAAAAATCTATGTATAGTCGAATGGCTTTTCTCTAATGCATTAGTAGCATTGATTAGACTAGTTTCGGAATTTTTTAAAATAAAAATGTTATTATGGATTTAATCTATTATTTAAATATTTAATTTTTACCTTCAAAGTAAATCAAAGTATTAAGATCTTCATCATTATTTCCTACGATAGTACGTTTCTTCCGTTCAAACATTTTTTCATTTATGACATGGCGATAATTATAGGAATAAAAATGTATTTGCAGAAGGAGTCTGTCGATCTGAATAAATCGGCCTATATTCTCTTCTTGTCGCTTTCTTGTTTTTATCATTTTTTACATAAATTGAGAATATATCTATTTTTTCATCTGCAGTATAACCTATTTCGGTAAGAGGACTGACAGTTTATAATAAATTCATAATTGTCTCACTTTGAAATGTCAGTTGCATAGCCACCTATGGTTACCCTTTTGCAGTACCATACGCCATTATAGAACAAAACTAATGCTATACAATATTATATATTAGTCCAGGCTGTGAGGCCGCTCCCGTTGGGAAAATGTTTCTGATTCGGTTTCTTCACGGATTCCGGTTCAAAAATGTCCCCTTTAAACAAATCTGAAAGGTGCCGGGCGAAATTTTTGGGCAGAAATTGTTTAAACAATTTTTTTTAATCTGAAAAACATTTTTTTAGGTTTTTTGGGTAATTTTAAATAAAAAAGATTTCTTGTCATTTTTCTCTAAAATTGATAGTTTTCGAGTTATAAGCGATTTAAAGTCTGAAAAACGCGAAAATACGCATTTTTGAGGCTTGAAAACACATATGTAAATTATTATTTTTGAGGTTACCAAGTGTCTAAATTAAAGTTTAAACATTCAACTTCAAGATTGTGAAGAGTAATCGGGGCTTATTTTAATTTAGACCGTTGTTTTTTAATTGTTAAATATGCGCGTACACTCGATTTTTCAGCCGCCGCGGCGCGCTAGAGTGCGCTTCTATCGTACTTATGCATAGTTTACATATACACTTACGCAAAAAAATCCGAACAAATCCTTGAAGTTTATTAACATATTTTTTTCCATAATTTATTTATGTAGGTATTAAATATTGTCATTAGGCTAATTAAATAAATCAATCATCGCAATGTAATAACCGTATATAGTTTTTTTTTCTTCCAAATTTGAACAATATAATTATTATTTATTGAGTATATATTTATTTATATCAATTGTAAATAATATTTTTAAATTATTATTTAAATAATACAATGCAGTAAATATTAATATTAGTAAACTTAAATCGCAAAAATGCAAGTTTTTACCTGTTTAACAATCGCTCGCTCATACTTGATTTGTTATTACTTAAACGATCATTAGGAAGACTATTGTTTAATGCCCATTAAAAGGGTATTATATTATTAATGCGTTATTAAAAAAATTGTGAATGGATTTAAATGTCTTTTTCCGCACCTCTTCTTAAATGAAAACTTACCGAAGAAAATTTAGTTTGTATTTTTTGTAATAACATCAACAATATTAAGTTAGTGCAAAAACCTAAAGTAGATTTTTACATAACAATACAAAATGCTGCTCTTCGACGAAAAGACAGTGTGACTGAAAAATTTAATTTAATCTAGCCAATATACCTTGTACCTCTGACGCACTTTACCAACACTTGTTAAGAGCTTTCGCTAAAACATATATTTGGCGAAATGCCATATATTCCCGCTATCAAACTCTCGATTATACACAATATGGATATTATATGTCTGATAGTGGTGGGTTGGGAAACCGTGCAAATGCAA